TATATATATATGGGCTTAATAAACGGGCCGGGCCGTGTCGGCCCGATAACGGCCCGTATAACTAAATGGGTTAAGCGTGTTAAACGGGCTGTCACGAATCCAGCCCATTTATTTTCGTGTTATTCGTGTCAGCCCGTTAACGACCCAATTAATAATCGTGCAGTCCAAACCTATTTATCTCGTGTCGTTTTCGTATCGTTTCGTGTCGTGTCTAAAATTGCCGGCCCTAACTGGAACCATCCCAAAGCTTTGTCCTCCATACACACCGATGCCGCCAGTGCCATGTCACCCTCGTCTACGTCGTTTATGGTGAAATAACGTTCGGCCCTAAACACCCAGCCATGAGGATCCTCTCCGTGAAATAGCGGTAATTCCAATTTTTTTCCACTGTGTTCTCCCCGTGCTCGAGGTCTCATCGGAGATCCGTAACGAGGAGGCACGGCTTTGCCTCTGACCGGTTCTCTCCGCAGGGGATTGAGCCTTCCCCGTGCTGGTCGCACCGGTTCCCTGCCCGGTGGGGTGTGACCGTCCCGTGCTCGCCTTGGAGGGGATGGCTCCTCCCCGTGTCGGTGTGGCGGTGGGGGTGGAGCACGCGCCTGCCTTACTAGAAACTCCTCCAACCTAGTGATCGTTCCTTGGATCCCTTCGATCTAGGTTCCCATTGTGGCCATATTTCCCTGCATCTCACCCATTTGCGTCCCCAGGGATTCAACCTCCCCTTGCAAGCTTGGCATCAGCTCCATGCTATCCCCAATCTCCTGTAAGGAATCCTGAAAGCTGTTCAACCGCCTCTCCACGGAGGCCATTCGGTCTGCCTGGTTCGCCACGGATCGTACGGCTCTGATACCAAATTGTTAGGATCCTCGTGGTTCAGTAGGGGTTTTACAACCAAATGAAGGTTAATTAACCAGAAAAAGGGTCTGGTTCCTGTTATTGATATTGAGAAGTAAAGATTTCTGAGGAAAATAATTCTTATTTCCTTAGTATAGATTACAGAGAAGGCTCTCCTTAAATAGAGAGAGAAAAGGTACAAATATGGTAATTTTTTATTACCGTTTATTCTCCTAAAAAACCTACCAAAAATACTACAAAGCAATAAGGAAACAAGCATAAAATCAGTAAACTGAATTGACACAAAATCCATGGGAATCATTCGGATATTCCCATGAAATCACACTGATTTTCCACACTCCCCCTCAAGTTGGTGAATATATGTTAATCATTCCCAGCTTGTCTACTAGAGCTTCAAAACTTTGTCTTGGTAATCCTTTGGTTAGGATGTCAGCAACTTGTTGAGTCGAAGGCACATAAGAGAGTTCTACTATTCCCTCGTCAATTTTCTCCTTAATGAAATGTCTATCAATCTCTATGTGCTTGGTATGATCATGGTGAACAGGATTCTGAGCTATGCACAAAGCCGCTTGATTGTCACAGTAGACCTTTAAAGGAGCCTTGTGTTCAACTTGCAATTCTTCCAAGACTCTCTTCTAATCAATTTTGTCGCAAATTCCATGTGCTAGTGCTCTGAACTCGGCTTCTGCACTACTGCGAGCAACTACACTCTGCTTCTTACTCCTCCAAGTAACAAGATTTCCCCAGGCCATAGTACAATAGCCAGAAGTTGACCGCCTGTCTTCAACTGAGCCTGCCCAATCAGCATCTGTAAAAGCTTCAATCTGCCTTTGATTAGTTTTCCCAAAAAACAGACCTTTTCCCGGTGTCATCTTGAGGTATCTCAGAATCCGATACACGGCAACTAGGTGTTCTTCATAGGGAGAATGCATATACTGACTTACAACACTTACTGCGAAAGCTATGTCGGGCCTGGTATGAGATAGATAGATTAGTCTCCCTACTAACCTTTGATATCTCCCCCTATCTACTGGATTTCCTAACTCCTTCTTTCCTTTTCCATTCACCTCCACAGGAGTCTCAGATGGTCTTCCACCAAGCATTCCAGTTTCCTTCAAGAGATCAATCGTATACTTTCTTTGAGAAATCAAAATACCTTTTCTTGTACGAGCAACTTCCATTCCCAAAAAGTATCTCAGCTGCCCCAAGTCTTTGACTTCAAATTTCCTAGCCAACACCTTTTTCAAGTCTGACAATTCTTCCAAGATTATCCCCTGTGAGGATAATGTCATCCACATATACTATCAAAATCGAGATCTTACCACCTAAGTGTTTGTAGAACAACGTGTGATCAGCCTGTCCCTGAGTGAAACCCACACTTCTGACAGTCTTAGTGAAGCGGTCAAACCAGGCTCGAGGAGATTGTTTAAGTCCATATAGTGACTTCAACAACCTGCACACCTTATCGCCTCCAAATTCTCTTTCAAACCCTGGCGGGGGATTCATATATACTTCTTCTTCGAGAGTCCCACTAAGAAATGCATTTTTTACATCCATCTGGTGTAGAGGCCAGTCAAGATTAGCTGCCAACGAGAGTAGTATCTTGATAGTGTTTAGTTTAGCAACCGGGGCAAAGGTCTCATTATTATCTACACCAAAGGTTTGTGTAAAACCTTTAGCTACCAATCGTACTTTATACCTTTCCATTGATCCATCTGAGTTGTATTTGATTGTGAAGACCCATTTACAACCCACTAGGCATTTTCCTTTGGGTAGGTCTACAATTGCCCATGTACCATTCTTCTTCAAAGCTCCCATTTCCTCCATTACTGCCTTCCTCCACTGTGGCTTTTCAAGAGCATCATGTATACTTTCAGGAATCTCTTCAGCAGATATCTTTTCGGTTACAGCTCAGAAGGCAAGAGACAGATGTTTGAAGGACATAAAGTTATAAAGTGGATGTTGGGTGCAGTTCCGAGTGCCTTTCCGAAGTGCAATGGGCACATCAAGATCACCAGCTGGTAGTTTTTCTTCTACTGTCTAAGCCTCCTCTTCTTTGGATTCTTCAGCAACAACACCTGCGTCATTCATTTGTGTGTTTACCTCCGGTTCAGGCTCTTGGCAGTGCTCCGGAGTTGTAATAGGCTTGTGTTGCTTTCGAGGTTGTCCAGCCCGCCTAGAATAAACACGAAGTTCTTGTGGTTCTTTTTGTGTGCTGCTTTGCACATGTGATTCTCCCCCTGTTTCCAGATCATTAGACAACATAATAGGTAACACAAGACTCTTAGAAGATGAACCAGGAGACTCTGACTCTAACTGAATGGGAACTACTGACTCTGTTTCCGATTGAGCGGAGAAATCCCAAAGCTGCCCTGTATGTCTCACATTCTCCCCTTGAAGGGCAGATTCGTAGTAAGCTTGATTTTCAAAGAATGAGACATCTATGGATACGTACACCTTTTTCGTGACAGGACAGTAGCATTTGAAACCTTTCTGACTTGGAGAGTAACCTAAAAAAATACACTTAATAGCTCTAGGATCAAGTTTGCTTAGTTGAGGTGAATTCGAGTGTACAAATGCAGTACATCCGAATGTTTTAAGAGGTAGATTATGAAGTAGACGAATTTGGGGATAAGACTTACGAAGAGTAGACAATGGTGTTTGGTATTGGAGTACTCGAGAAGGAAGACGGTTAATCAGATAACATGATGTAAGAACTGCTTCACCCCAAAAACACTTAGGAACATGGTTTTCAAACAAGAGTGCATGAGCTGTTTCGAGTAAATGCCTGTTTTTACGTTCAGCAACACCATTTTGTTGAGGAGTATCAACACGTGAACTTTGGTGGAATATTCCATTTTCTGCTAGATATAGACCTAAAGTATTATTAAAATACTCTTGGCCATTATCTGTACGAAGAATCTGAATTTTTGTCTGAAATTGTGTTTCCACCATTTTATGGAAATTTTGAAAAATACTGGCAGCATTGGATTTTTCTTTTAAGAGAAATACCCAACTGACTCGAGTATGGTCATCAATAAAGGTTATGAACCATCGTGCATCGGATATGTTATTTATTCTTGACGGACCCCAGATATCACTATGAATAAGTGAAAAAGGTTTGGATATTTTGTAAGGTTGCAAAGGATAAGGAACACGAGTATGTTTAGCAAATTGACATGTTTCACAGACAAATAAGTTGACATCTTTATTGATAAATAATGAAGGAAACAACTTTTTCAGACATAAAAAACTAGGATGGCCTAACTTATTATGCCATAACATAATTTCACTGGAAGTAGAAACAGAATCACAACTCAAAGCTTGAACTTGTTTATTCCCTGCAAGCCGAGAACCTTCAAGTAGATATAGCCCATCACACTCCTCAGCACTGCCAATCGTCTTTCTCGAAAGTAAATCCTGAAACTCACACAAAGAATGAGAGAACTTGGTTATGCAGTTCATATCCTTGTTAATTTTGCAATGGACAAAAGATTGCAGGCAATGGTGGTATGTACAACACAGAATGCAGAGTTATACAATCAGAAATTCTCACTGTCCCTTTTCCAGTTACAGATGCCAAGGATCCATCCGCAATTTTAATTGTCAAACCATTATCAACTGGTTCAAAGCTCGAAAAAAATACTCTTATTGTTTGTCATATGGTCTGAGGCTCCCGAGTCAACAATCCAACAAGCTTTATTAATAGTTTTGGTTGTTAGGGCAGAGAGAAAATTACCCCTTTTTGCAACTACTGCTCTTGGGCCCGAGGACGACGAGGATGGAAGCTGTGACAGAATAGTTTGAAGCTGTTCCAGTTGCTCTTTGCTAAATGCGGAACCTGAGGTAGTTTCTGGAATTTTTTCTCCTTCTCCAAATGCAGCTGTAAAGCCTCGGCTTTCTCCAGAGTTCCGTTGACGCCAGCGTTCACGTGCTGGTTTCCAGTCCGATGGTTTTCCATGGATTTCCCAACATGTGTCTTTGGTGTGTCCATGGCGTTGGCAGCGATCACACCAAGGTCTGTCACTGCTCTTCTGATTTCGGTTTTCTCCACTAGGTCCAAAATTTTTCTTAATCACCAAGGCTGATTCTTGGTGTGGCGGTTCAACAATGGGATTAGGGCTGGTCATCTTCTTCCCAAGCATGACTCTGCCGAGCCTCTTCACGCCTCACTTCAGCAAATGCCTCGATCTCAGGGAATGGTTTGAAGACAAGTACACGGCCTCGAACTTCATCCAACTCCTTATTGAGGCCGAGTAAAAATCAAATACTCGCTCCTTATCAAGCATCTTCTTGAACTTGGCGCTATCCGTAGAGCAACTCCAATTGAAGTCCTGATATAGGTCTAATTCCTGCCATAAGACTTGCAGTTCATTGTAATATTCTGTTACACTTAGATTACCTTGTCTCTTCTCTCTTAGGGCAGATTTCAACTCGAAAATCTGAGTAGAATTCCCTAAATCGGAGTACATCTCTTCTACCATTTTCCATATTGCGTTTGCTGTTTTGTAGTAGAGATAAACGCGGCTGATCGCTGGTTCCATCGAGTTCAACAGCCACGCCTTTACCATGGAATCTTCGGATTTCCACTTCTTGTAGGCGGGAGTTCCAACTTCAGGTGGTGTGGCCTCTCCTGTCAAGTAATCTAGCCGTCCTTTTCCATCAATTACAAGGACCACCGATTGAGACCACTCCACATAATTTGCACCATTCAACTTGTGCTGTGTGATCTGCAGTGAATGGTTGTCATTAATGTTGTGGATGATCTGTTGGGATGTTGCTGTTGACGTTGAAGTTTGCCCACTTGTAGCGTCGGAGACTGCTTCACGAGAGGCCCCTGTTGTGGCCCCTGTCATGGCCGTTTTTGCCATTTAGAAGAAACCGGAAGAGGCAAAATTCGGCTCTGATACCATAAAGATTTATGAGGAAAATAATTATTATTTCCTTAGTATAGATTACAGAGAAGGCTCTCCTTAAATAGAGAGAGAAAATGTACAAATATTGTAATTCTTTATTACCGTTTATTCTCCTAAAAAACCTACCAAAAATACTACAAAGCAATAAGGAAACAAACATAAAATCAGTAAACTGAATTGACACAAAATCCATGGGAATCATTCGGATATTCCCATGGAATCACATTGATTTTCCACAAGAAGAACTACAGAATGAAAGATGGAAGGGAATTTGAGGACCCCCCAAGCCTCCCACAGACTCAATGACTATTAACCAAATTCTCGATGTCCTATTCTCTCCTCCTCTCCTCTATTTATTCCCCGTTTTTCCCATAACAGACTCTCGGGATCCTCACATACTTGGATCCCCATTCATAATAACTTTCCCCCCAGCCTATCCTAGTTAAATCGCGAAACTAACCCTGCTCATTCCTTGCCACGTCATGACTATCCTTCTTCCTTCTCCTAGCATATACAAACTTAAGGGGTGGGGGTGGAGGCCTAACATTATCTTTCTATTGATTCATCTGCTTTATATTTTATCGTGTAAACCCATTTACACCCCTACGGGTTTCTTTCCTTCAGGTAACTGCACTAACTCCCAAGTTTTGTTCTTCTCCAATGCCTCCATCTCCATATTCATGGCTTGCTTACATTTTTCATTGGTTAAAGCCTCGGATAAATTGGTAGGGATGGCAATGGTGTTTAAGCTGACAAGGAAGGCTCTATGAAATGGTGCATATGTATGTCTTATGTTCCTTCGGGAGGTCAACTGGCTGATGTTTTAACAAAAGGATTAAGTGGTTCTAATTTTCATGAGATTGTAACCAAGTTGGGAATGGAAGATATTCATTCCTCAGCTTGAGGGGGAGTGTCGAGAGGTATTTTAGGCTGGAAATCAATTAGGAAAATTAGTTTTAACAATTCCTAATTTTCCGGGATTGTGGTAGATATTCTTTCCTATTTTCTCTCTATGTAAATTCTATAAATACCTAGCAATGTAATTATTCAATATACGGAAATACAAAGATATTTTCCAATCCCTAGTTTTCAACATGGTATCAGAGCCCTAGGACGATTCTCTAGGGTTTTATGCCACCAAGTAGCCTTCATCGCTGCCGTCATTGCCAAGTAGCCTTCATTGCTGCCGTCGCTGCCAAGCGCCTTTATTGTTGCCGTTGCTACCAAGCAGCCTTTATTGCTGCCGGCCATTACTGCATTATCCT